TCCTCTCCTCTCCTCTCACAGCTGGACCGACCCACCAAGCAGATGAGGGAGGCAGAACAGAGGCTCAAAGCGATTCCTCAGTTCTGTTTCCCAGACGCAAAAGACTGGAGTCCTGTCTCCGAGTACGCCAGGTATGTCCAAAACAAAAATAATCTTCCAAAGTGTGTCAGAGTCTTTACACTCGCTTGTCTTGTGGGTCATTACAAAAGGCAAACACAATAACTGCAGACCATCTCTGACTTGGAAGCTCCTCTAAAGCTGCAGCAGAGAGGCTGACTTGTGGTTTTTGTGATGGCTAAACTGAAACTCGTGTGCAAAACGAGAGGAGTTTCTTGTTTTATCAGCACACAGCTGTTGATAAATTAGAAACCATTTTCCATCACAGATAACAGAAATAAGTATTACCCACATGGCCTATTTTGAAACTACTGTATATTATCAATACAGTTTTCTCAGTGCTGATTATCTCTAAAACGCTCCCACCCTTGTTGTCGGCATGTGGGATGATCAAATCTTTTATCTGTGTATTTACACCTGCTGCATAAATACCTCACAGCACTGGGCCAGAGCCAACGCAAATGGGTTGTGCAGTCATTACTATGTCTTCGTATTAGTTGTCTTCAGGTGCTAGTTCTCATGGATGCACTTTTGTTTCTGGCCACAGCGAGACCTTCTCCTTCATGCTGACCGGAGAGGACGGCAGCAGGAGGTTCGGGTACTGCAGACGCCTGCTGGTAAGCCACCGTTCAGCTCCTCGTCCTCTGCTCCCTGTTCACATCCTGCTGAGCCCCCGTTTGTTGTGACAGACGTTTTTATTTTAACATGTGATGCGATTTTCCGGTCAGGCTGTTAATGTGTTGCGTGGCAGGAAAGATATCACCCCCCCAAAAAAAACTCAGAAAAAAAGAAAAAAACAACTCAGCAAAACTGAAGTTTTAAATCTCAAAATCAATAGAAAAAAAATAGATGCAGACAAAGATAATCACACTAACTGTTATAGCAGCTGATCAGGATTAGTGTCAACCCAGGAAATACCTCCAGATAGCGTTAGTAGGAAAAACATCTGGAAAAACAAATCACACGTTAACAACAGTGTTTTTTTCCAGCTGCTATAAAAATGGATTTACGTGATTTTCTAAATGTGCTGCCATTATATATGTAACTAAATATATAAATCTGTTTTTATGAATGTATTTTGAATGTGACACAGTCAGTGTGGTGTGAAAATGAACAAAGAAAAATCTACATATCTGAAAAGCTAGAATTCAGTTACAGTCAGAAGGCACATAAAAATGCAATAAAAATATAAAAATTCATGATAAAAACACATTTAGGATTGACTCATTGCATTTAATGAGGGTTTTTAGGAGAGGCAAGACAAAGAGAAACCATGAAAAATCCAAACTTTGTCATTCTGAAGCATTTCCTCTCTATAATGAGGCCGGGGAGCGCTTTGAAGTGTTTTGTTGAGCTTCCCATTTAGCTTGCGGGAAGAGAGCACGACTCTGTGGGATTTTGTGAATGTGGCCGTGATTTTGTTTGCCGTTTGGTATTTTTCTGAGCATGTTGTGTGCTGCTCCAGCGTGCACGCTCTCTGACGTTACTGTTGTCGGACATCTGAGGAATTCTTCGACCGACCAAAGTGTTTGTGACTCTCGGTTACGCTTGATCTGCTCCGTTGATCTGAGATTCATCTTGATAGCAGCACATTCTAATGAAGGTAGCGAAGGAGGTGAGCTGCTCTCCTCCACTATGCTTTGCTTCCTCCCTGCTGTCTGTCCAGCAGTTGGCAGCAGCCGAGCATTCCTGAGGACTTGAATCAAGCTCCACATAGTTGATTTAATCATCCATTTGGAAAAGCAGGGGAGAAACAAGAGGAGAAAATTGTATACCTAATATGGACAAGTGGATTGGTGTTTGTTGAGTGCCTGTGTTCATTTGTGTCTGTGTGTTTGAGGGTCTGACTTTGTCTGTGGCTCTCTCATAATGCTCAGTGAGTGCGCTGAGGACAGATACTATCAGCAGGAGCAGATAAACCACCTGTGTTTAGGAAGGAGGCATCCACATGAAAGACTTTCACCTCAGATGACAGATTAAATCAAAGACCTCTTTATATTATGTTGTCCCGGTGGTCCAGTCATAGTGATTTCACGAACCTTTAAATATCTGTATTTACATTTACGTCAGTCAGACATTAAAACCGCTGCCAGGTAGGGCAGGGTGATGTGGCCGAAAATATTTATCACGATATAAATGAGAAAATTTGCGATAATGAAATAATTGATGCCAGACAAAACACTTCAAAACTGTACAAAACAATTCTTTTCCATTTAGCAAGCAGCTGTTTTTGATGTGCATTAAAGCTGTAATGTACCAAAATCCATGGTGCATAAGTTGTAAATCGCTTGCTGACAGCTTATTTAATCATTAAAGGCATTTCAAATGGAAACAGGCTGACAAGTCCTGAGCAGAACAAAGCATAGGATCCACAACAGTAGAGTCGCTCTGCAACGTAAAACTTTGCAGCCAGTTTCTTTGGTCTCACCACTAGGAAAGGTAGCGGGCAAATATTCGGATCTCAAAATTGCTACCTGGACACCACCACAATGTCCGAACACTCCAATATCCGGGTCCAGCCCTACTGTGTCGGTCGATGCACTGCATTCATCCTCCTCCTCGGTCGCCGCTGTGCTTCTTGCTCCATGTGCAGTAGACCGAACCAAAACAACGACACTGTGTGTTTCATTAAAATTGATATTTCAGTTTCATATCGTCCCTTAACGTTACACCGGTATTATCGTGCACGGTATGATATGACCCAGCCCTACTGCCAGGTGAAGTGTAAAAAATTGCCGGCCCTTTCCAACAGCAGCAACCGTCCCCAGCAGGATGACGTCTTTTGCAAAAAAGTACTCGAGGAACACGACCAAGAGCCCAAAGCTTTGACCTCCAGACTCCCTAAATCCTAGCCTGATGTTTCGAAAAAGCCTCAGCTGCAACCTACAGCAAATATATCAGTGCCAGACACCACAGGACACCTCCAGAGCCGGCAGCTCGAGGAGAACCTACACAACATCAGGCAGGTGGTTTTAATATAGAGGCTGATCGCCGTATTCCAATTTAACACACCGAGCTCAGCTTACCGTGAGCATTATTCAGCCTGTGAACAAAGCAGTCTTCTGTGACTCTGGAGGAGCCTGAAAAATAACCTTAATGAGGTCTGAAAATGAAGTCATTATCTCCGCTTGGGCTCGGAGAACCTTTAGCAGAGAGCCTGTGGAACAGATTGTGAACGATGTGAACCGTTACCAGGCAGACTGGCTTCTCACAAGTTGGTCACATTATAGGAAATACACAATCCAAAGACAGGGAGACTAAAAGTTGGGAAATTTTGGACTCTACTGTTTGGATTTTTTAACCTGTTCAGTCAGATTTAAGAACTTCTGTGAGTGAGTTTCCTCATCGAGTGGATGAACGTCTGATGAGTCTTGTTTCTCTTTCAGCCGACCGGGAAAGGACCTCGCCTTCCAGAGGTGTACTGTGTCATCAGCCGGCTGGGCTGTTTTGACTTGTTCTCCACAGTGAGTTCGGTCTTGTCCTCGAGCCACACACACACACACACACACACAAACACACACACACACACACACATGTTCACACTCACACAGATGCCAGCTTCAGACACCGAGCTGTACGCGGTGTTGTATCTGCGGTTAACCCGTCTCACAGCTGAAGGAAATGACTTTCAGCAGACCTTCTGCTGAACGCCTGCTCGCTGGTAAACCTGAATTTAGTCTCTTTTTTTTTAAACTTTCTGATTTCCCAGAGTAATTGATTCCTTCACTTCTGTCTCACTGGTGCCAACGCAGAGCAGAGCAGTCACTCTGTTTGACTTTTTCATCCCCTTATCTGATTACTTCATTAATTCAAAGTGAGTGAATCCAGACTGTTGAAACGAAGCTGCTGCGATGTGACGTGGAAATAGAATAACACAGACTGTTTCAAAGACAGTGTGCATATGCGCTGTCATCATTGTTTAATAGGGAGGCCTGTGTGTAGCCCACTGAGACTGCAGACGAGCTGTTTCCTGAAGCCTGAAATAAAACATTGGAAATCTGTGTTCAGTGGCGGAGTTGAAGCGTAGAAGCTGCACTGTGTTGATGAAGTATTTCAGGTGTTTTCACCTTGTGCCGTTTAATTTGTGATTGTGTTTATGACCACCAAAGTCTGCTTTCTTCTCTGATAGTTTAAGACCAAAATTTTAAGACAAGCACCGCTGTAAACATCAGATTGAAGCGATTTTTATAGGTGCAGGTGATGACAGGCGGTGGCAGCGTGTGATTTCAGAGAGTCGTACAGGAGAGACAGACAAAAACAGAGATGGGGATTTCATGTGACCTCGAAAACGAACGATTCTCCAATCAGCTGTCCAGGCAGGAGGCAGCTTGGACCAAAACAGGCAGACAGGCACAATGGGTGGAATTTTTTCCAATCACACAGGCATGGAAATAGCTTCATTTGCTATTTTTCAAAACAAAAAAAATTGTACGCTGACTTCTGGACAAGTGCTTAAACACATAACAGTATTAAGAGTTTCCATCAGTCGTCACCATCGTCGATAAGTTTATTAAAAGTGGTTGAAAAACGTAAAGGAAACGCTGCTCTCTCCTCTTGTGTTCAGATCCTGGATGAGGTGGAGAGACGGAGGGGCATCTCAGCAGCTCTGGTTTATCCCTTCATGAGGAGTCTGATGGAGTCACCCTTTCCTGCACCAGGGAAGCTTATCAAAGTGAAGACCTTCCTGCCCGGCGCAGGAAACGAGGTCAGAGCTGCTGCCAAATACCAACATTAATAGTACGTTTTAAGATAAGAGCGTGTGACTCATGAATGAGGCGTTTTGTCTTTCTGTGTGGTCACTCAGGTCATCGAGCTGAGGCGACCCACCGACTCCCGGCTGGAGCACGTGGACTTTGACAGTCTGTTCAGATGTCTCAGCGTTCGGCAGGTGATCCGGGTCTTTGCCTCGCTGCTGCTGGAGCGGAGGGTCATATTTGTGGCTGACAAACTCAGGTGAGTTCCCAAAACTCCCCAGTCTCCTGAATCTTTCCCTCAGCAGTGAAATGAGCTGGATTTTTTAATATCAAAGTTCCCCGTCGCTCCTTTGCTCATTCCATTGATTTCTGCCACAGTCAGTTTCCTCCTTCAGTGTGAGAAATTTGGTCTGTGACTCTTACTTTGTTTGACCCTGTGTCCATATTTAATCGTATTGTAGCCAAAAAAACATTGTGTGTGATGAAAAGCTAACGCCGTGGAATGGTTCATTTCCTACATTTTTGTTGTAATATAAAATTGCCAGGACTATTCTGACAAAAATAATGTTGTCTCTGGACTCAAGAGGCCCCAGAAGCTGAGAGTTCATTTAAATGACTCGATATCAGTTGTGAAGCCCGGTGACGGACGGGCAGCTTGAGCAGAACACACCGCTTCTGATCCAATGTCAGCCTCCTGTGCCTCAGCAGAATAAAGGACGGATACCAGGAATAGATAATAGAAAATATTATGACTGCACAGATCGCCAAAGGACATATTTAGTTTTGTTAATTGGGCTCCAGGGGCCCTGGCACTGTGTTGTTGTTTTCCATGCCTCCTGGTCATCTCAAACTGAGAATAAGAAGCGCATGAAGCAGCCTTACAGCCAGCCTGTCAGCTGGTGGCAGCATTACAGTAACCTCCCCACACACATACTAACAGCACCGGGCTGTGGTTTCGTCAGCTGGAGCTCTACAGATGCGCCATGTGGAGCGGTTTGATTGTGACGTTTGATGTTGATTAGCATCAGAAAGTCAAGCAACAGGTCAGTCAGCCGCCAGCTTTGATACCACACAGCAAAGTGGGTCACAGCAGCGAGAGGAGGACAGGGTGGGGCTGATAAGATGTGAAGAGTCTCCGAGGACTCGGTGTCCCAGTCTGTCCTCTCGTTACAGAAAATAGAGGGGTACTGTCAGAGCATCGGAGGCGAGGGTGGAGTGGGAGGAGATTTGAGCGGAGAAGTAATCTCTCCATGTATCAGAGCCCAGTTTAAACAAACATCAGTGGGGGCAGTGACTGTGAGGGAAGGAATGCACTTCCTGTGTGCGCGACTCTGCCCTCTGTGATCTGTGGCTCAACTGTCACCGTTTGACTTATGATGCCACGTTCACTCCCTACGTACGAGCGACCTCAGTCTCCGCGTCTCTGGAGAAACTTTGGCCGAGCTGCTCGTTACCAGAGGTGATAACATCAAGGAGTCGCTGGGTGGGAATCGTGAAGTGACTTACGACACAATATAATCGTGATATGTGGCCCAATAGCTGCCAGTTCTGCAAGTTTGTGATATCTCGCATGGCAATCATTTAATATCTGTGTAGCTGCTTTATGAAACGCTTTAGATTCTTGGCCATAACTTTGTGTGATAATTCGTTGATGGTTCCCAGAGAATAAAACCTGTTAGCTTTGGTGAAATATCTCTACGACTTATCAGCTGGATTGTAATGAGAGGCGGTGCAGCCATTCTGGTCCCCTTCAGGATGAATCGTAGTAATTTGGGTGACCCCTTTGCTTTTGATTTAGCACCAAAAATAATGACATTCCCATCTGCCTTAGGAGCTAATTTGTGTTTAGATCTAATTACCATCTGATAGCACGCAAACAAGAAAGATCATAGCTGCTAAACATTATTATGCACCACCATGCCAACCTAAGCTGGCAGAAGGTTAAATTACTGGAAAGCAGAACATCACTTACAAGGACGGATTTATAAAATACACTTTCAAGTGCAAATGAAGTTAACAAAACTGAAGTAACTTAAATAAAAGAGCCTCTTGCAGTATGATCTGCTCAGACCACGTATGCATGCATGCATGTGAGCGTACATGCGATGCTGCTGCTGTGTTTTGGTTTCGTTTGAGCGGTGACAGGGCCTCGCTGCAGCATTAATGACTGCGATGATAAAAGAGCTTCTCCCTCTGGGACTCTGGCACATAATCCATTCCCAAAATACCTCAGCTGCAGAGCATGATGTATGCTTCTTTCCGCTGAAATGTATATCCAACATACGAAGGAAGTGAAAGGAAAAGCCATTTTAGGCAATAGTTGTACTCACTCTTGTGATATTACGCTGAAACCTGTGTTGTTCTTTGCCAGAGAGGTTTCTGCCTCTACATGAAAGTCTGCACAGACAATTTCTTTTAAGTGATCATTGACCTACTGATGCCTGTAATAACAAGTCTGACGCCTAATCAGATCAAGTCATCACCAGCTGTGTCACTCTGTAACTGCTTAACTCGATTGACCTGCTGATGCTGGATGAGTTCAGTCATTGCTGTGGACTTGTGTAAACAGTTTCTGTCAGTCCTCGGGCTACAACAGTTAGCAAACTGTATGTGCGTATCTGGATTTGTCTCTTGGCCTGGCTGTAAATTGCTCTGATGGGAAAAGGTGTTATTGTGCAGTAGCTCCAAACAGCTTTTCCTGAGGTGGTGTGTCCTTTCCTTCCCAAGAAATGTCATTAAAATCAAGCTAGAACAAATACATTCTTGTGCAAAATAAGAATCAATGTTAAACCCTGCAGAAGAGAAAAATGTCCTCCCACTGTATTGACAGTAAACTCGATATTCCCTGCAGTGTTTTAATTTGATTTACCACCATCAAATAGAGTCCAGTTGCCAAGATGTCCTGTCACAGTGAGTGGCATTTTGTGATTGAGGTAGCAAAGAAGAAGAGAAAAGAATCTAATGAAATATGAGAAGTCTGTGCTTGACAGAGTGAACAGGGAGGAGACTGTGGAGGGAAGCTAAACAATGGCTGAAAGCTTTTCTCATAGCTGTGGTGAATTAATCAAGCTCACTTTTCTGTGGTCCAGCAGGCTGCTTGGGTTTCTAGACACACTCTTGTCTTTCCTACATGACTAAAAAAAAAATGCACTAAATATGAAGTCTCCTCTCTATGTAAAGTATGTGGTGTTGTGTTTATGTAAAAATCCAGCGTCTGGAAGTGAAGCTGCAGGTATGTAGACTCCCAGCATGCCGCGGCGTTACGATCTACGATGACTGTAATCTCCAGACAGGTAGAATTATTGCCGCCGCTGCAGGCATTCTCTAATCAACAGGTATGGAAGTGTGCTCGTTTCATTTAGTGCTCCGTTATTCTCAGACACTTTCTCTAACGCGCTCTGCAGAGCTGGTACGAAGCCAAAACCACTTTTAACAGCTCAGCCAGTTTCCCATGTGGTGTTTAACTCCGAGGTAGAGCGAAACACTGCAAACATGTGAAATGTTTCTGTGTTTTTTTTTTCAAAGCGTTGAGAAGAACGGCTATTACCGGAGTCCGACCAGCTGATTTTTACATCAGTGTGGCTCTCGCGGGTGTTTACGCCCACGCGTAGACGCTCACATGCTCATGTAGACGCTCGTATACACAAACACCTGGTGCACATTGGTTTGCTCTCGAGACAGCCTTGATCAAACTCAGACGTTGTTGTGGTTTTAATAAGAACATGTAGAGCTTTCTATGGTGAGGCCATTTCTCATTGTAAAAAGGCTTCTGCTGTTAGACCCAGAGCCGGTGGCTGGAGATCCTTATAGACAGGAAGTGAGGGAAAACCATTTGGGGACTTTGGGAGCGAGCAGAGAACATTCTGCTGAAGGATAAAAATACTCCATGTGCAGCTTTCCCTACAAGTCCTATAGGTCTTTATACACTCCGCTTGCACTTCATATGATTTCTAGGTGATATTCTGAGCTTGGGAAGACGTTGAGGAATGGTTTTGTGGTGTTTTGCAGCACAGCTGGTGTCTGACAGCTGTGGTTGACTTTGTGGTTCAGTCTTTGTCTTGTGCCTGTGGAACCGGCCACGCCGCGGCCCGTCGACGCAGTGCAGAGCTGTGGTGATGCAGCCTATTGTCCCTCTCTCTCTTTCTTCAAGGCTGAATCTGCCCTCCTCCTCCGGGCTTCTCAGACTAAGCCTGCCGATCCCATGTTTCCTGGAGTATCTGCCAGTTCGGCCTCACACACGTTAAACCAGGCCTGGCAGACCAACGAGAGCTAATATATCAGGATTAGCTCCCAAACCTCAGCACATAGCAGCTCTGCATCTCTGCATCTTTTCCCTTCATCCTGGGAGTGCGATCATAAATTTATACGACTTTTAAGTGTGTAATCAAATTGAGATCTATCAAAATGATTTTAGTTTATGCCTGTGTGGTGCAGTTTTTACAAGCAAGATGGGATTAAACATGGGACCGATGCTTCTGCCTCACAGACTCATCCTGGTCTGTTAGAGCTTCACTTAACTTGTTGCTTTCACTGAACGATTAGTGAAAACGTCACACAAGCCGGACAGTCGATTCATTTTGCTTTCTTATCGTATCTATATTAGGGCAGAAAAACAACGAAGTGCACAGTCATGCTGGCAGCTCTGCTGTGGCACAGCTGTGTTTTGAACTCAACGCTAACACGCTCGGCGTTAAAATGCGAATGTTTCCCATCTTAGTTTGACACGTTGGCATGCAAACATTTCGCCTTGGCACAAAGTGCAGCTCAGGCTGACGGGAATGTCGCTAGTTCTGCAGAACTTTGGCCGTAAACCAAAGAATCTTATGACAAATCGTGCGATAGCTACTAAAACATTTAAACCTGGATTACGGCGGCGAGCAGACGGACTAACACGCAGACCAACATTGACACCTCCAGAGCCAGATGGCTAAAAACCACCTAACAACATAATCCCATCTGCTACAACCACATCGCAGCCTCTGTACTTATCTACATATACAAACCCCAAATAATAAATCATCTTAAAGTCAATAAAATCTGACATCTCCCTCAGCTTGCACCCAATTCACAGCTTTAACTCAAGATGTTTCATTGTTTGCAACTTGTTTATTATCTTACCAATTAGTGGATGTGTAGGCTACAGAGCATTTTACTTCTTTTTTTTTTATTTATGTACGTCTAAAGTTTTGGTCTGGCTCTAACGGGAACGTCCCCGTCTCTTTCCAAAGTTGAGTGGCAACCTCTGGTAGTGCAGAGTGTTTTCATTGCGAGTTCATTTTCTCCCAGGAGTGTGCGGTCGGGGAACGAGTGTAATGGATCCTTTTGGTATCGGTGGTGTGTAGGGCCGCGTGTAGCCCGTGGCGAAGGTTTTCTGAGATCTGTGCCCCATCACTCCCTGTTGGAACTCGTCAAACCCAGGAGACGGGATCTGTTAGGAATTATCAAGCCCTCCCCAGGCAAATGGAAATCAGGCTGGCCAAAGTAAAGCTGCAAGTGCTTCATGTTATGAGGGAACTGGAAAAGGCCTGAAAAGACCGAGCGCTGTGGTTATTGTAGCCTTTGGGTTTTCGCTGGCGTAATTCTATTTTACCCTGTCAAGAAAACACATTTTAATCTTGGCAATTTGACTCATGGGAAGCGGAGATGAAAAAGGCCCGTGGCAAACGTAGAAACGACTGCGGGGGTTTTTCTTATTCTCATTGATTATGGTGCCGATTCGCTGCATGCTGCTCTAAAAGCTTCTGTGAACGGAACAAGGTTACATAAAAGAAGGAGTAACTGGTGTTTACGTGAGCGCTCTGTCTGCTGTTGATGATGACTGGAAAACATTCCTCATTAAAAGAGTGTACATCTCAAATAGGGTGCCTTTGCATACCATGTTTGATCCCCGGTCTTGCTCCTGATCCATACTGATTTAGAGGTCTTTTATGTTTCTGTGTGTGTGTGATCGGCCCACAGTTTATTTTCACTCTCTTTGTGTACATGGACTGGACAGTATGTAGAAGACAGAGGGGAGGAGGGTCAGCCACTGTCAACAAGCGACGGATCGTGAGAAAGACGGGCTGCTATTTGTGATCTTGATGTTATACCACAGCTGTCGGAGTTAAACCGAATTGCTGCCTTTTGGTATTGCGTCAACAAGCCCCCAGCTTAACTATAGCAACATGTCAGAGTCACGCCACCCCTGCAGACACAGTCGGGTAATGTCACAATAACTCACTTTATTGGGCTCACCCTTCGTCATTGTGGTCTCTCGTAGACGGTGCTCGGCTCTGAGTGGGAGACGTGGAAGTGCAACAGATTAAAGCGTTCATGTGTCCAGAGGTTGCCGCCGCGATGTGAAGTCTTTTAGAAAATCCGTCTTGTTTTCGTTAAAGTGTGAGAACGATGTGCTGGATCGCGCTGTTCTTCAGATGAGCTGCAGGAAGAACAAAGACTCAAAGTACACACCACTTAGCTGTGCTGCTATGCCTCATATAAAAGCAACTGTTCCAGGGAACAGAGGATCAAATAGTCATTTAACTCGGGGAAAGAGCTGAATGGAATGGATGGAAATACACAGTTTATGCTCTAATAGTTTGGTACGCCGCCCAGTTAGTGATTTAATAATAATGATTCAGACATTTAGGGGAAGAATATATATTTTTTTAGCTTAACATGACCACACCAAAACCACCATACAGCCTTTCACTCCCCTTCCAGCCTTGGAAACTGAAGTATTTTTTACTATCCAGCGACACATGCGCCCATGTGTTTTGACTGTGCTGGCTTTAATCGTGTTGTTGTGCGACTCTGGAGGTGAATGATGTGTCTTTGTTTTTGTCTCCCATCACCAGCACCCTGTCCAGCTGCATGCATGCGGTGGTGGCGCTGCTCTACCCCTTCTCCTGGCAGCACACCTTCATCCCCGTGCTGCCGGCGTCCATGTTGGACATCGTCTGCTGTCCCACTCCCTTCCTGGTGGGGCTGCTGTCCAGCTCGTTGCCGAAGCTTAAAGAGCTGCCCGTAGAAGAGGTGACTATGGTTTTCTTTCATTTTCTCCGATTGTCAGCCTCTGAAACTCCAAACTCTGACTTGTATGTTTCCTGACTGTTCTGCCTCCGTCTCTGTGTTCTGGTTGTTCTGTGACTGAAGAAGCTTGTTTCTTGGAGTCCTTGCTATCAGTGTCTCGGCTGATAAATTGCAGCGATACAGATTCTGAGTAATTCCATTATGAATTGGCGACTGTTGCTCTGCCTGTTCGACCTCCTCTTCCTCTGGTCGTATTATATTAGGGAACTAGCCAAACGACTTCCAGTCAAAACTGACAAAAACTGAGGTCACCTTCTTCAGCAGCGTGTTTCAGGCATTAATCGGCAGAAATTGCACAAGTTGCATAAGCATTACATTTACACCTGGTTTGCTCAAAGCAAAAGGATCGATGCTTTGTCTTTTCTCAGCATTTTGTTGTGCTGTAGCTTCATTAACGGTTCTTTGTTTAATGGAGGTTCTGTTTTGCAGCGAGCTTATGTGTGCAAAACAAACAGTAAGAAAGACAAGACGGGGATCCTGAAACTGCAGAATGACATCCTTATCTTTCTCTTTCTCAGGCTTTGATGGTCGACCTGGGAACTGACCGCTTTATCCGACAGGTAGGTCCACATGCTTAGAAAACCGGAGTATAAAGAGAGACGATGTACCTTTGGCTCAGCAGCAGCTATTGTGCCCGGAGCAAACTGAATCAATAATGGATGCTGCTCAGTGTTACCCAACTGAAGCTCCAGCATCATAAACTAAGAGGCTGAAACAGCAACAACTGTGTTTTTCTTCAGGCTGTACAGTTTGCTGTTGTGTTCTGAGCCTTTGAAACGTCCTCTCCGGTCACTCCTGTTTATCACCGGTGACTGCAGTGTTTTCAATCGTTCGCAGATGGACGACGAGGCCTCGCTGTTGCCGCGGAAACTTCAGGCGGCTCTGGAGCAGGCGCTGGAGCAGAGGAATGACATCATCAATCAGGACTCCGACAGCGAGTCAGACGAAGGTGAGTAAGTGACAGATCAGCTCTCGCTAACAGAGGCAGATGTTCTCCTCGTTAATTAGAGCAACGACGTGTGCGGCGGAACGTGTTCCGTCTGCGTTCTCGTGAAACTCGCGGAGAAATGACATAATCTGCACAGACGTCTCTTGACAGTGAATCACAAACACTCACGTTAGAGGTGAGAGAGTCAGCTGACTGGTGATACAGGTGTGTGTTCTGAGCTGACTGCTGGCAGATAGTGCTTACATTTCATTTACTCCAGGGAAGGTTGTTTTTTTAAAGTAATATGCTGGTAAAATAAAGACTAAACACCAATAACAAGGCATAATCTACGATGGTAAAGTCTTCCAAACGTGGATCTGTAGGTAGACATCAGCTCCCATATGGTCTAGCGGTTAGGATTCCTGGTTTTCACCCAGGCGGCCCGGGTTCGACTCCCGGTATGGGAACTAGACTTATGTGAAGCTCTTGACAGAAAGACTGAGATAAACAACAGAAACTGTGACATTCAAGAAACAGCGTGAAGAATGTCTTACTTGGCACCGACTTTCTTTCTCTGCTTCCGAAGAAGAAAAAAAAAAAACCTGCAGCTAAACACAGTGTGGTTCTGTTCCATCTGCTGCATGTCAATCACAACCTGTTCTCACTAATGTGCGATCCAAAACAAGACGCTGGTGCAGCCCACAGCGCCGTCTGTTAGCTGAAGGAGAGATTAAACTGTGTCTTTACACACAGCAACACCGATGTAGTCTGATAAAGATGAATTTGTGCTTCTACAGAGTACAACTCCTTGAACAGCCTGGTGTCAGAGGCCTTCATCCGCTTCTTCCTGGAGACCATCGGACATTACTCCCTGTTCATCACTCAGAACGAACGCGGGGAACGCATTTTCCAAAGAGAGGCCTTCCGCAAGTCGGTGGCGTCCAAGAGCATCCGACGTTTCCTCGGCGTCTTCATGGAGTCTCAGATGTTCGCAGGGTTCATCCAAGATCGGGAGCTGAGGAAGACACGCGCTAAAGGTAGGCCGTCGCTCTGAGTGTTTGTGTTGATGTTCTGTCATCCTTCAAAGAGTCCACGGAAAGACTGCTCACTGGTCTCTATGGATTTCCACATCACCGTGTAAAGTGTTGCACTCATACTGCCCTCTACTGGCAGAAAGTTTCCATCAGCGTGTTTACTCCCCACTTCACTATTCCTCCTGGCAGACAAAGACAGTATTACTTCCTGAATTACTGGGATGTCTCACATTTGCTTTGTATCTCTACTGTGCTGTCGACAGGTCTGTTCGAGCAGAGGGTGGATCAGTATCTGGAGGAGCTGCCAGACACGGAGCAGAGTGGAGTCAACAAGTTCCTCAAAGGACTCGGTGAGTTTGAGGCTCATCTCTGATTTTAATAGATTTTTAATCAGTTTCAAACTTGAGCTGATGAGGAGAAATTTGAAGTCCTTTGTACGTTGATGGACATTCTCATGTGACATTAGCGTTGGCAGAGGGAGCTACACACCAACTTTTAGAGAGTTTCAATCGCTGCTCATCATTCTGTCTGTCTTGATTTTAACTCATGAGCACCTGAAATGATAGAACTAGTGGAAGTAGTTGTGATTAGTTTGTGCACAGTTCATATTAAGGTAAAAAAACTAAAAAGTGCACTGAAGCATGTGCTGAGTTTTACTCTGGTTTGAACCTGCTGAATGTTGATCAGTGAAATCTCAGGTGAGTCTGTTTAACGCTACAGATGGGACACTGCAACTGGTTTTTGAATCTATTTGTAACTTATTGTGACGTGTAAACATTCAATCCAGCAGCAAACATAGTGTAAGTAGGAGGAATCCAACAGGAAAATATGTAAATGTACAAAATGTGGCTGTTTATAGAGTCTGTATTTTTCAGTGGCATAGAAGGAGTGGATGTAATCTTATATGTGGAAAAACAAATTAGTTTATTAAAAGCAGAACATTTTTGCACATCTTCAAGCAGGCAGTCTTTAAAGATTTGAAATGAGACCTAACATCATGTAGTCTCACACAGTTTTAATAAACTTGTTTCTCCTCTTTCCAGGAAGCAAAATGAAGTTTCTCCACAAAAAGAGCTGAGGGGAGAACTGAAGACCTGATGTCTCTGCATCAAGACAATTCTCAATTTTTTATTTTTTTGTCTCTTGTCAACAATTTTTTTGTAATTTGTTTTTGTAATGTGTGTGTGTACATATTATTTCACTGTAAGCTGTGATACTCTTCAGTGTATGTTTATAGTACCTAATGAGATAGCGATAGCAGGATGGTACACAGCGAGTGAGTCATAGAGTAACCACTGATGTCCGGGGCGTGCTTGTGCAGAGTGTGTGAGTGTGTGTGAGCTGACGTGGGCGTAGTAGATGTACAGATCGTATGTTTTCATTTTTGCATTATTTTACGACAGTGTTGTCCTCTGTTTAAGGAGCGTAAAGCCTACTCGAAAAACTGTACATGTACATGGAGACGATGAAGATTTTTAACTCTTCGTGGTCTTTTGCAATCTTTTAATAAAAAATGGTTAAAGTGCTTTAAATGCCTGAGAGCAACGTATTGAATTGACTGATGGGTCAGAATGCAAATGTGCTCCTGTTTGTTTACTTTTCCTGTCAGATCTTTGTTTCTTAGTCGTCTCACAAACACGGCGCCTACAGATATCACACGTGGAAACAGAAATGTGTAATTTTTCCAGATGATATGAAATCACCTCTTTTTAGATCTGACATCTCAATGACAGCCTCCCCCAAAGCTATGCATTAGTAGTAGCTGGTAAGATCCCAAAAGGCGCAGCAGTCTAGCACCAGCTACCACATGCTGCCGGTAACCTAATTACGTCTGTGCACATCACTCTGGCGGCTGTCACTGCCGTGCTGTTATTAGCTCTGCGAGCGGAGAGGCTCACTGTTGATTCCAGGTGCCATATTACTTTTCCTCTGCCTGCGTCCTTTATAGCAATTAAGAGTGACGTTTGATGCGAAGTGATCGTGTCGCGTGTTTGGGGTAAAGCTGCACTGCCTCGGTTTGCAGTGTGTTTGCTGAAAGGAAAGACGACGCCTTAATAATAGTCTACCGCAAGTACAATCCTAAATTCAGTCTCAGTGTACGTACAGAAGGAAAGTCAATCATTTTACTTCATATATGTTTATATACCAAAAACTTCTTCATCGTGAGAGTTCCTATGTTGTTACTAATGAGGTTCGTCACAGCAGCAAACACAGTTTACTGACTATGTTATTTTTATTATATAGCATTATTGTCACTCATAAACGTCATGATGTTGACTTTAAAATCATCCATCAGTGTCTAAGCACTCTAATGCGGGTTAAAGATAACGCTTCCTGATTTGTCTCTGCGTGGTTTCAACACGTGGTCATTTTCATGCAGGCCTGTTTTACGCTTCAAATCTTAATATGAAACATCACGACCTGTTAGAGACATGCGGCGGAGCAAAAAAGTGTAAAACAGTGCAAAAGTAAACACGTATAAAACACTCAAGTATCTCAAATTTATCACGAATTTCAGTATTTAAGTTTACTTTCCCAAGTTACACCTGAAGTTAGCTGCACCACTAGCGCTGTAGCATCATCTTTTCCCTTTTGTTCTGCTCCAGTACATTTCATAAGACTCAGAAGGTTCGCTCATTTGCAGCATCACATGCAAAGAATTTCGAGAGATAATTGCATTTCTCCACAATATGGCCGTGATACCGGACGAGCTGCTGCATTAAAATACTCATTGCATGTTGTTGCATCAGTAATGAAGAAGACGGTTTATTAAGTGTATTTGACTGCTTTACTTTAATATGATTATGAAAAAGTTAAATGCTCTTGTTTTTGTGATAATATTTTTTTTTTATAGTGATAACTGAACTTACACTTAAGACCCGAGCTCTTGTTTGATATGCATTTTTTAGAATAAAAATGAAAAAGAAAATAAAAATATATTTAAAAAATATTTTTAAAATATGTAAAATAAATAAATAAAAACAAATACCAATAC